AAGTATAATAAACTAAATTAAACTTACTATATTAACCAAAGTTTCTATATATAAAAAAGATAATTTGCCTAAATTTACCTTTTAAGATCTTGTAGCTTAATGATAAAAAAAAAAAATTATCTTATCTTCAACATGAAGGAATTCTTTATGGCCATAAACATGGAGATTCTTTGGCAACCATTGCCAAAAATATCAAATGTGGTAAAACTACTGTGCATGATACTTTGAAATGATATGTTCAAACAGAATCTACTATGCCAAAAAAATGTCCTGAACCAAAAGCTATATTTAATGAATCTGCATTAGAAGAACTTAGAAAAATGGTTATACAAGATACCAAACACTGTCAATTAAGCTTTAAAGAAATACAAGATTTATGAAAAAAAGAAAAAAACCAAAAAGTTTCTATTTCTACAATTCATCATGCTTTAAAAAAATGTGGTCTTAAATCATGTATTGCATGTTATAAGCAATTAATTAGTGCTAAGAATAGACTAGAACAGAAAGCCTAGGCAAAAGAATATCTGAATTGGTCAACTCATAAGTGGCGAAATGTAGTATGATCAGATAAATTCTTTTTTGTACAATTTGATCAAAGTCATAATATACAAGTTTGGCATACTCCAGCTGAAGAGTTTGATGAATCATGTCTTGTTCCTACTTTAGGATATAATTCTGGTCTTATGTTCTGGAGGTGTTTCTTGTGGCATGGGTTAGGATCTATAGTTTCTATTCATAGTACTATAAATGGTAAAGTTTATACTAAACTTATAAGAAGACATGCTATTTCTGCTATACATCAATTAGTATCTAATGGACAAGGTACAGTAAAAAAAATTCTATAACATTTATAAGTTCCTGAATATTCTGAAACAATTATGAAATAGTTCAAACTTATAGTATAAAAAAATCCTACTATGTATATGTACTGTACGTACTGTACTACTGTATATACTGTACTACTGTATGACTGTACACTAAAAAAATATGAGTATCATATAAATGGCACATCACTAGCTTTGCACATAAAATTTTTTTGTGCACAACTAATTTTGGTTCTGAATTTTTCCCTGATAAGGTATTTTTCAGCAAAATAATATGACTCCTTACAAATATTAGAAAGCTAAAAATGTTTTCAAAAATGCTAATATTCCTGTATTAAAATGGCCTGCTCAAAGTCCAGACCTTAATCTGATAGAGAACCTTTGACAAGAGGTTGAAACACGTTTATGCAGTTCTTCAGATATACCTACAAGTATTAAGGACTTGGAAATTAAAGTTAAAGCTGCCTGATATTCGATTTCACCTAAATGTTATCACAAGTTATCTAATAGTATGATTAGATGAGTAAAAGCATGTTATGGTGCTGATGGTGGGCCAATTGATTTCTGAATTGTATTGTAATTGCTAATGCTATGCTATATATATACAAAATATTAGCCTATTTAAAAA